TATATATGCGATGCTGCATCGTACGTGCATCCGTGGCGTCGTGGGTGCGCACTACATATATTATATATATATATATATGTAACTAATGGATGGCCGCTCGATCTGCGAATCGGTTGATTTTAATTAGTAGTGCCTTATGTAACAGGGTGAGACGTCGCCTGTGACGTCCGGTGCCTAGTGTCGTTGTCCATCGTGTACCTCAGTCTGTGCTTAGCCTTATAGTACATGCATGTATCACTTAATGTTGGCACCTACTCCAATTGTCCATCCACCGGCACCGCTCTATATATCTGTGGCAATATTTAGCTTTTCTACATTGATCTCCTGTGCATCTGTCATCCTTGTTCCTACACGTACGGCCTGTGATCAAATCCAAAAAGACTCTTCCCTTCATTCTCTTGGATAAACTACATATAGAGAGCGGGTAGATTGATGCCTTTGATGTCCCTTTCAGTAAAGAACTGATGCTGTCTATACATGGCTTGCTGGTAAATCAATACGTCAATAAATTACTTGAACTTTGGATGTCCTTCCTGGCTGGGACCGGGAGATGGAGACTGAGCTCGCTCGAGATGCATGCAAGCTAAGCTGCGAGCTGGCCATGCTTGATTGATTGTTTCACGGTTCAGATGGAACAAAAGGATTGCGGCCGCCCGTGCCTGCTAGCTGCTGCGCTTTGGTCTTTAGCGTTGGTGTGCTCCGTTGGATGGAGGCATCTTGGTTTTGCCTCTTTGCGACGCCAATACATGCCATATCTTCACGGGCGTTTGGCCTTTTTATACTACCTCCCAACACTCAACTGTCTCAACCATTCTACAGTACCACTACGTGGAAGCTAATCAACCCTGTCATCCCCTTGCTTGTGTTTCTAGAAAACCGGCTTCTCTGCCCTGCTTTTTAGACAGTTCCTTTTTAACAGTATCATTTTAGAAGAAGAAAAAACCATTACTCGATGCAAGAATTTATGTTGGGTAACCAGCTTACAAATAATTGACCACCACCAATGCCACCAAAATGGAAAGTTCACATCCTTCTTATTACAACTACATAGGTTTCCGTGAGTTATATTGGGAGCACAAATATTCTTGTAGGTTGGTGCATAAAAATTCTAGTGGTTTTTTTGTGAGAGCACTGGGATTTACCTAACGTTTTATTATTAATGTGATTGTGTACCAAAATGATTTTTTTATTTGGTAATCATTTATTGGCTTATCAAAGAAAATCTGATTTTATTTGGTAATTGAACAAGACATGGACCCGTTGAGGTGGTTTTCAGAAAAACAATAGATG